CTCCTGCTTCAGCCTTCCAAGTAGCTGGGATTACAGGCAAGTGCCACCACACCCAGCCAATTCTTTGTGTATTTTCAGTAGAGACAAGGTTTCACCATGTTGTCCAGGGTGGTCTCAATCTTCTGACCTTGTGATCCACCCACCTCGGCCTCCCAAAGTGTTGGGATTACAGGCATGAGCCACCACACCCAGCCACCCAGCTGACACTCCTACTTTTCATATGTATAAAAACCATTTGTATACCTTTGAAAACCTAGATCAATGGTTCTCTAAGTGTGATCAGGGCAAAGAGACAGAGATTCACGGAAGTTGAAAACCTCTTTTTTTTGGGCTTTACTACTTACTGGGTTTGTGGCATTTTGCAAGTTACATAACATGTCTGTGATGTAATTATTTCATATGTAATCATAATCGTACTTCACACAATTGTCATAGAGTTTTTCTGAGATAAATGATTACAATAATTGCTAACACTTCCTGGGCACTTACTTTGTATCTGCTATGTTCTAACCCATCAGGTGAGGCCCTATTTTTGTTTCATATAAAGGGATTACCATTGCCTGCATACATAAATGTCATATTATTATTAACATTATTGTAGTCAATGATTAAAGAAAAGGCTGACAAGGCCTTTTCTTCCCACCCTGAGTGGGTGTTTTGTGGGTGATCGCTGTGCAAGAGCTTGTTACTCCATGCAAATGCATCCAATCCAGTTCTTCTCATAGGTGAGCATGCATCAGAGTCAGTTGGAGAGATTGCCAGGTCTTGTTTACCAGGTTTCTGATTCAATTGGTCTAGTATGGAGTCCAAGAATATGCATTTCTGACCATTTTTCAGATGCTGCTGATGCTACCAGTCCCTGACCAAACATTTTTAAAATGATTTATTGAAATATAATTCAAATACCATAAAATCACCCTTTAAAGTATACCATTCAGTGATTTGTTACAAAATTCACAGAGTTTTGGACACGTCTTTGTGGCAATGTGTAAGAAAAAAAAAAATCACAGAGTTGTACAACCATCATCACTCTAGAATAAAGTATACATTTTTCTTAATTTTTCAATCTGTTTTTAAAATAGGTAAATGAAACTACACAGAAAAGTAGAGATGAAGAAGTCTTCCTCCCCTCATCCCAATCACTTGGTTCCTCCCCTCCACTAGGTAGCCACTTTTATTTATTTTTCTATATATCTATTTCTATATAGCATTTCTTCATGCAGATACAAGAAACATGTGGTCTTTCCCTGTTTTCTTGTACTAGAGAGGCAGCACACTATGAATCATATTCTGCCATTGTTTTCTTCATTTATTAAAGCTGGAGATCATTATGACCATATTACCATGGCATATTTAACAGTCTCCTTCAAGTAAACAAATATCTCAATTGTTTCTAGTCTTTTGCTATTGCAAACTATGCTGCCATAAATACCCTTATATACATATCATTTCACATGTATTATGGTTTGAATGTGTCTCCTCCAAAATTCAGGTGTTGCCAATGTGCTAGTATTAAGAGGAGGCACCTTTAAGAAGTGATTAGGCCCTGAAGGCTCCTCCATCATTAGAATTAAGGCCCCTTATAAAAGAGGTTTCACGCAGCATTCGGCTAGCTTGCTCCCTGACCCTTCTCTCTTCCACCATATGAAGATGCAGCAAGATGGCCCACACCCGACACCGAATGCCAGTTCCTTGATCTCAGATTTCTCAGTGTGAGAAAGTAAATGTCTGTTCTTTGCAAACTACCTAGTCTCAGGTATTCTGTTATAGCAGCACAAAACAGACTAAGAAAATATGTGTGCAGGTGTATGTACAGGATTAATTCCCAGAAGTGGGACTGCTAGCTTAAAGAGTAAATACATTTATAATTTTGAAACATATTTCCAAAGTCCCATTGATGAGTTGTGTAATTCTCTACTTTTGTTAGTAATGTGCCCTTACCCCAATATGTGTTGTCCATGACTTGTATTTTAGCCAATATGATAGGTGTGCAGTTTAAATTTGCATTTCTCTTGTCATGAGTGAGATAGTACATAATTCATATGTATAAGGGCCATTTGTGTTCCTTTTTCTGTGAACTGCCCTTGTCCTTTGTCCATTTTCTACTTGATTTTTGGTTATTTCCCCCAAGGAGTAGTCTTGGTTACTCCTCCAGGAGTAATTTATACTTTAGGAGATTGTTTCTGTTTGACATCATTAATTATTTTTCAATTTTGCTATTTGTCTTTGCTTATTGTGTTTTTGCCATGCATAGAGTTTTTATGTAGTTGAATTGATCAATCTTTCCTATTGCAACTAGTGCATTTTGAGTCATACTTGAAAAGATTTTCTTCCCTTTCCCCCACTCTAAGATTATAAAGAAATCTGGTCATGTTTTATTCTTATACCTTGACATTTTTTTTTCACGTTTAAATCTTGGATTTATAGCCTAGAGCACTGTCACCTACCAGACTAAAAAAGAATATGGATGAGTAGATTCTAAACATTTCTCCCTATATTAGATCTTTCTTTAAATACAATCTTGCCCCATACGTAAGACAGATGGAAGGAGAGCTGCCCTGAAGGTGCAGTAGAGACCCTCTTGTGAGTCACATCCTCCCCACAGACTTCAGGGTTCTCCATGGAATCTTTAGGATGGCTGTAAGCAGAGTGAACACCACAAATATCTGCAGAACAACAACCAGGCCAAAAAGTTTGATGAGACAAAAGTTAAAAGAAGGACTTTCTGGTTTGTCTTAGTGTTTGCCACTGAGTGTTTGTTGAGGAGGAAATAAGAAAAGCCTGGAGAGGACCCAAGAGTCTCTTTCCGCAGGGCTCATCTTTCTTATCAACAGTTCCCTTTTACTGAGTTCGTATGTTCAATTGAAAATTTCTCATGATTCTACTACGCTCTGACTGGTGAAGTGGAGAGTGTGCATGGACCTTGGTATCACATACGAGTTCTAATCCTGAACACTTACTAGCTGTGCAACCTCTGGCAATTCATTTGTTTCATAATTAGTTCACCCACAACAAATAATTGACTATTTTGTGTGTGGAAGACACTGTGTTAAGTGCTGGAGATATAAAAATAGAGAAGATAGAAATGGTATTACCTTACAGCATGGGGGTAGAGCCAGATGGTAAACAAATAACTATCATAATTATTTAGATTCTGATTGTCACGACATCTTCAACAGAGCAAGGAGTCCTGTGGACACGAAGAGCAGGGAAGTTCAAGCTTGCTAATTTAGGGAAGCTAGACTACCAGGTTCAGGTTTGACAGGCCCATAGGAATTGGCATGGCAGAGGGAGGCCAGGGCCTTTTAGGCAAAAGGAAAAGCAAATGCTTATTAGACCTTAAGGCTGCAGGAGCTAGGCACATTTGACCACCAAAAGGAAGGCCAATATAGACAGCATCAACATCACTGCGGTGTCTGTGTGGAGAATGGATTGTATGTGTGTGGTGTGTGAGGGGCAAGAGTGGATTCGGGGACATGGGTTAGGAGCTACTAGCGGTCTGGGCAAAAAAGACACTAGTAGCCAGGGAAACAGTGGTGGCAGTGGAGAGTGTGGACAGATTGGTAGGAGACACAGAGTGTTCATAAAAACTCCCAGGTTTCCGGGTGAGCTATCGCCAGGTGGATGTCCGTGCCACTACTGAGCTAGTGAATTCTGAACAAGAGGAAGTTTGAAGAAAACCCCCAACATTTTGGCAGGAAAGCGTCTCCTGGTGCAGATGGCAAGCGGGAACCTCACGAGAGGTCTGGCTGCAGGTGTGAAATGGGGACCCCGGCGAGGTCGGGTGCACTTACTGTGCTCAGTAAGACAGCGAGGCACCGCCGAGGCGGCAATGGCAGATCTGGTTTCTAGGTGGGGTCCCAGTCGGAGTCCCCGTGTCCAAAATCCTCAACTAGATTGGGCGTGCCGTTTATCTTGTTCCAACTGTTGACCGTAATGGCACTAGCAACAATGTCCTCCCCAGACGAAGGTGGTTTTTTCCCGTGTTTTCAGCCACTGCAGAGTGGACAGCTACTACAAACCAAGTACCTGTGGGCTTAGGTACCAGATTCAAAATGGGATGATGGCAGAACAGGGACTAGGACGGAGAGAAAACCCGAAGATGGATCAACCAGAAAGCAATGGATTCTCACAGAGGCACAAAAAGTGCCTCAAGCAGAAGATTCATCTCCACTGCTGCGTCCTTAAGAGGCAACTTTCTAAGCATCCTTCCCTCCTCCTCAGGCTGACGCTTTTTCACCTTGTTAAATTACCTGGTAGCTTTCTCCATGAGAGACGCCTTCTTCACAGTCCTGGCGTCCCAGTCAGACTCGCGGCCTCCTCCTCCAGCTTCTGCCGGCCGGCTGGGGTCGCCGCCGCGCGGTCTCAGGCACACTCCTCCGGCGCCTCGAGGAGCTGCGGCCCCCGCGGAGCCCCTGCGCGCCCGGGCGAACGTGGTAGGAACGCAGGCTCCCGCCCCCTCAGACGCCGGCGCCCCGCAGCCTTTCCTCAGCCTCCACAAGTTCTTTCGGGGATGTGATGTCCGACGTGCAGTCTCGGCTCTGGTTATTTAGACGTTACTCCTTCCTCGCCGGACGCCAAACATGGGGAAACCACACTCTCTGCTCCGGTCACCAGCAGCCACTCCCATTCCTGAAGTATCCACTGTTGCATGTGTATCCTACTTCAGGTTTTCATTTTTATTTAAGGTCAGTTGTTGCCTGACAACACAGACATAAGCTTCATTCTAAAGTCAACACTTCGAGGCGGCCCCGCTCCAGGCGCCAGCCCAGCAGCTTTCCCGAACCCCCCAGGAACCCAAGAGCGAGCAACGACCCCCGCCCGGGCAAGAAAGCTCGACCCGCCGCGCCACACCTCTTCCGGGCTCCGCAGCCGGGCGGTCCGGGAGGCCCTGAAGCGCCTGGGCATGGAGAAACCCCGCCCCCCATCGAAGCCCCGCCCTCCGCCCGAGCACCCACCAATGGTAGCGCGCGGTGCGGGGCGCCGAGTTGGGACGGCGACGCGCCGAGGAGGCGGTGCGCTGAGGCGGCGCGCTGAGGTTGCTCTCGGTGAGATGCCTCGCGGCAGTAGCGCTCGCGGCCCTAAGGTAGGCTTTGGGGCGGGAGCGGGCGCCAAGCAGTTTCAGGCGTCGAGGGGGAGCGGCGGGCCGGTGTTGAGTCGGCTCTGGGCTGCTGGGGTAAGAGGGGGTGGGCATTGGGGTTGAAGGGCGAGGTGGTGGCGAGTTCCGTCTGCGTGCGTGGAGCGAGCCCGCGCCGCGGGGTGCAGCCCCCATGTCCGGCTCCGGTCCTGGTGTGCTGGCCGAGCCCTCAGCGGCTGTCCGGGAGGCGAGGGGTGGAGCTACGGGAGGGACAGAGCTACGGGAGGGACGCAGCTGGCTGCTGGGACTTGAGTCCGGAGTGAGCAGGAGCCTATGTCCGCCTCGGGGGTACTTGGCGATGCTTTTATTTGTCTCATTTTGACCCTGGTGTAATGCACCAAACAGCAGGGAATCCTGGCGGCTTTGCCCGTCTCCCCGGATAGTCCACTGTCAACTCTCTCTCCCTGCTGCACTGGGAGGGGACTCTGTGGCGGACTGCCCGGTCCGTCAGCATCAGGGTCCAGGCGGGGAGCGGGTGGAAGCATTGCATGAGTGGTGGTTAATTGCACCTGCATCCGAGAGTGCCTCCTTTTTTTTCTGCTAATTGTGCTTGTCCTGACGTGTGTCCTTTATCTTTTTAAAGTTCCTTATAACTTCCTTGCTTTCAAATACGTTTGTTTTATAAACAGTTCTAAAAAACCAAAGACAGGACCTCCATTCTTGACTCTTCCCTTTACTCGAAAACTTCCTGGAGAAATAGTCCACATATACTGGTTCAACTTTAGCACTACCATGCTTTCTCGCTTCTCAAATACCATTGATTATCAGATCACACTATCAATTTTGTGACTGGCTTTAGGGAATAAAACATTTCAGGCACCTCTGTTTATAAGATGCAGCCTGATTTCAGAAGTATTAATGTGTGAGAAAAACTAGGAAGTATATAAATTTGTTAAATCCAGTATAAGTTGTTTACTTGGTCATGCAGCATTGAACACATTCGCCACCTGCTTTTATTTCTTTTGGAACATCCCTGAAGTTGCAATGCTGATTGTCTTCCTGTCTTGCAACTGCTCATTTTCTTCTCTTTATTGTGTTCGTGCCATGTTCTAATTTTTTACCTTGTGCTTTTTCTCACTTTCCACGTTTGCTCTGGGCAGTGGAAACATACATGGAAGTTAACTGTCACGGCTGTATAGATGACTTTCAGATCTACGTTAGCCTTTTTCCTTGAGCTCAAACTTAGTGCGTCACAAAATCATCGTCACCCTTAGTCCTTCAGGCCCTAACCATTTCCCTTGACTTAGAAATCCTAGTATTTTTGGATCGACATTCACCTCTGGTCTCTTCATCCTTTTTTTGATAGAGTCATTTTTCAAGACTCTATCAGTTTTTCTTTTCAGTAGTTGTGTTAGTTGTCTGTTGTGTAATAAGTTGCTGAAAACTGAAGCAGCTCATAGCAAATGTTTATTATATCATAGTTTCTGAGATTCAGGAATCTGAGAACGGCTCCACCGTGTGGTTGGTTGTAGGTTAGGATCTCCCGCAAGGCTGCAGTCAAATAAAGGGGCTTTGGAGCTGGAGGATCCAGTTCCAAGCTCACTCACGGATTGTTCCTTGACAGGTCTCTAGGACAGCTCACAGCGGGGTCCTGGCTATTCCAAGAGAGAGAGAGAGAGAGAGAGAGCAACAAGATACTGGCCCCCGTGTCTTTTATAGCCTAATTTCAGAAGTGACATCCCATCTCCTTCTATTCATTACATGGACCAATCTGGTACACTGAATGAGGAGGGTATCAAAGACCCAGGAGGTGGGGATCACAGGGCCCACCTTGGAGGCTGACTTCCACAGTAGTTTTGCCCCAGGGATTTATTTTTTGTTTCTGTCTCCCTAGGTCAGTATTTAATGGTTAGAGTGTTGATGTGTGGTGCCAGCTAGCATGCTCCCACTCATCTTCAGAGGTGACTTTCCCTTAGACACCACTTTGATTATATTGTTAGTCCCCTATCTAAATTTCATTTTAATTCTTATTGGCTACATCATAATTTATTGTAGACTTACCCTATGTTTAGCACTTTATATGTATTAACTATGTAATTATTTTAACAATTATGTGAGGTAGATACCATTAGTCTCATTTTATGGATGAGGAAACTGAGGCTCAGCAGAGAAGTTAGGTAATTTGCCCAAGGTCACACAGCAGTTAAGGGAAGAAGCTAGGATTTATATCCAGGTAGTCTGCTCCAGACCTAGCTTTTGTTCAGGCTTTCAGCCTGTTATTCACAGCTTCCATAATACATCTGTATCTTATTCCTTACTTTTACAGCTTTGTTCATTATTTATCTTCTAGGTAAATTAGACTACTGCTGTCACCGTACTTTCTTGCCCTTTGGCGGTAATTGAAATGTTCTTGGTTTGGAATAATGCCAGTTCTCCCATTTCTGCTGATTGAAATCTTAATCATCCATTGAGGCCCACCTCAAGTCCCACCTTCTCCCAAATTATCTGAGCTATATATGAACTTTTTTCTGTAGTCTGTGGAATTTTACATAAATAACTCTTACTATTTCATGTATTAGTTTTATTTGTGTCTACACTTTTATTCCCCTATAGTCTAGACATTTAAGATTAGGGACTATGTCTTCAGTCCATATTCCGCAGAGTACCTGTCAAGCCCATATTCCCTAGAGTACCTGTCATATCCCTTGCACATGCTAGATACCTAAGAAACATCTGATGAATTAATGAAAGGAAACAGTTTAAAAGATTTGCAAGTATTCCAGGTGTGAAGAAACATGAGGAGATACCTTAGTCTGAAGCCTTGGATATCAGCCTCAGCAATACAGCTGACTGATTTTGCAATTTTGGACAAGCCACAGAGATATTTCAGGACTCTTAAGATGAAAGGTTGTTCTGTCATGGACTAAAGTGGTGGAATTAGGAATAGAATGGAAAGGACTGAGTTGATAGACTACAAAAGGAAGGTGAGATTTAGGCAACTGCAATTGGAAGAGGAAGAGGAGGGAACCTGTGGTGACTCAAAGTTGAACCTGTGAGAAGTGGGAAAGTTGGTTCCCTGCCTCTTAACTGATGTTAGGATATATAGATATGTGGAACATATGCCCTAGGGAGATTAGGGCAGTCAGTTGCTCAAAGGCTGGGGATATCTTAGCTCTTTTCTCACTCCCATCTCTTCCATGGGCTTCTACTGCCCTAGCCCCTCACTATCCCTTAACATGCTTTGATTCTTTCTTCCCTTTATGCCTTGTGTTCTTCTTTCCTTAAGAAGTAGCCAAGGATGACCATATATACTCCTGTTCTTGGCCAGCACCTTGCCTTTTGAGATTTTCTGATCCTCCCCAGTTGTTGTACTCTCATAGCTCCTTTCACCTCCTTAGACTGAATTCTAGTTTCAGGCTTCTCCCCACCCCACCTTCTGCTCACTCTTTTCCACTGAAAGAAAGACTGTATCTTAGCAAGATTATGAAAGAGAGACTACTTCTTCCTTATGACACCTTCTTTCTGTAATCCTTTGGGTTTCCCTCATCACCAAAACTTCTTTTCTTTGAGACAGGGTCTCACTCTGTCACCTAAGCTGGAGTGCAGTGCTGTGATGTGGCTCACTGGAGCCTCGATCTCTCAGACTTAAGCGATCCTCCCACCTCAGCCTCCCGAGTAGGTGGGACCACAGGTGTGCACCATAATTTTTGTAATTTTTTTGTGGAGATGGAGTCTTGCTATATTGTCCAGATTAGTCTTGAACTCCTGGCCTCAAGCAGTCCTCCCTGCCTTGGCCTCCCAAAGTGCTGGGATTACAGGCATGAGCCATGGCACCCAGCCAATTTACTTTATTTCTGGTGCTTCTTGCACTGGGCCAGGCAGATGGTGGGTATTGATTAAATACAGTGTACACATGAGCTTGAAGAGTACTCAAGGCTGCAGGTTAAAAAGAGTTTTCTTTGTCAAGAAAGGGAAACATTTTGCCTATTTGAAGTAGGAGAGAAGAAGCCAATGGGGAGAGTGAGGACCTTTTAGTATTCTAGAAGGTTTGGATTTCATTACAGAAGCAGGGTTAGTTTTAGAGAATAGGAACATTTTCCTCTGAGACTGTAGGGAAGAAGGAGAGCCCAGTAGATGGAAAGTTAGCTGATTTTTACAATGGCTAATTCTTTTTTCCTGAGGAAGATGTGACAGCATGAACTATGAGGCTGATACGGAGATGTCAAGAGAAGTGTGGGTATGGAACTCACATGTATATTTATGATTCTGTGTAGGCTTATAGTAGAAAACTAGGAAGTAAGAATTCAGCAGTAGACAAGACATGTAAGAATAACTGGAGGGTGCAGCTCTCATTTTTGGGCCTTTTTCCAGTGGCCCCATGGGTTGGTGATTGGTAACCCCATGGGTTGGTAGAAGGGTAGGGGTCTTAGTGCTTGAAAGGCCACACCGAAGTAGTAGGCCATAGAGTGCAGAATGGCATGGGAGCCGTCATGATTAGGAGGGAGTGACTCTGATAAAGTGAATAGGACTTACAAGTCCCAGTGAATTTTCAGATACTTAGAGCCCAGTCAGAAACTCACTTGTGGTGCCTATGTGTGGGAAGTGCTTGTATAGTTGTTGATAGACACTTATATTAATGTGAGGTAATGGAGAACCAGTGGCTAGAATCTTTAGTTTTGGAATTAGACGTACATGGAAGAAAATCTAGACACGTTGCTTCTTAGCTCTGAATAGGGCAAACGTTTTTGAGTTGTGGTTTCTTTATAAAATGGCGTTAATACTTATATTGCTGGGTTGATGTGAGGATTAAATGATGAGAATGAATGGGATGATATACTGGGCATATAAGCACTCAATAAATGTTGGTGATAATGAAAGCAATTAATTAATGAAACACTATGATAATTAAAGCAATTGTATGAGGACAAAGATATTGTTCATCTTCTCCTGCTTTGTCTCTGGATTTCCCTGAATTGCTGTCTTTCAACTATGTTGAACAAGAAATAGTA